ACGGTGAGACGGACGTGTAGTTCAGTTTTGGGCACGCGTACGGTGCTGCAGGGATTATATATAGGTGTAGTAGTACCTCTTCGGGCTCTTGTACACCTTTTTCTTGCTACGTGTGCGTGTTCTTTAGATCCTCAGATGGCTCCAGCACTTTCGTGACCACGGGCCGAGAGTCTTTGCTAGATTTTGGCATTTAGAAACTGGCATACGGTTTATTGTGAAGTCAACAACAACAACAACAATGGGCTTAGCATAGATGTGTGGTGTTGTAGTCGTCGAGATATGCTGGGCGCCGAAGGAGTGCTGGACGAGTACTGTGGTACCTCGTCAGACGGTTTCATTGATGGTATGGACAACACCAGCAGCAGAGGGCAAGAGGGCTCTTCGGGGGCACGGTTAAGGGGTTCCGTGAATGTGTAAGGGGTATGTCGTGTTTGGGGGCTCCGTGTATGATTTTTACCAAAAATGTTGCATACCGCCAACAAAAAAAAACTTTGCAACTATCGACGTATCTCGACGAGGCGGTCACGACTATCGTTGTTTCACGTTCCAATTCTTTTTCCAAACGAAGTTATCGCACAAAACGTAATTGGACAAAATGTTTGCACGGACTTTATGTATTAGACCTTTATCTCCGCTTTCGGTGCCCGTGGCGTCGTAACAGTGAAGCCGGTGTGCGGTGGAGGTCCCTTAGTCTAGAATGTGCCACGGCGCAAATTTCATAACGTTTTGGACGAAAAGGTTGACTGGCGTGTTGTATTCCCGCTGGTTTTGGTACTTGGATACCAGTCCGATCTGCGGGTCCACTGTTGTTACTGTTGTTGTTGTTGTTGTTGTCTTCACATTCAAAACCGTTCTGATCTCTCTCTACCCAGTACCTCCGTATGTCCGTACTGATACAACACTCGACTCGGTCGATTCCCGTGGTCGCAGGCAAACTTACCCTTAAAAGGTACACTCAAATATAATGGCCCCGAGGGGTCCGCAAGTCAATAGAAATCATCGCCAGATATTCTGGAGTCCTCCACTCCCTCTGCGCGCAATGCGAGATAACTTAGACTAGGGGTCAACATCACGGGCCGGAGAGAATGCGGTTCACCCCCTTGGTTCAATCTTGGTACTTCACAACGCAAGCAGAAACAAGGCCATCTGGCACAGAAAAAGAGAGAAAAAGAGAACAAGATAAAAAGAGAAGAGAATAAAAGGAAACAGTAACGAAAGAGAAAATGAAATAAAAAGAGCGAGGACAAAAAGGGACCAGGCCGAAAATAACAAGAAATGAGAGACAGAAAAAGGCACACGGTAGAGAGACCACTAACGACAAGCAAACACGCAAACATGGCCACCAACCAGCGATACATTGTAATGGCACGTCATCACTAGTGGGGGGTTGGTGCAATGGTCCAGCGTTGGGGGGGGGGAATTGGCCAAAAGAAATTCAATCCGGCGCCAATTGCGCCACTCGGTCCGTCTCTTCTCGCTTGCTTTCTTCCCTCGCCGTCTCGTCCGTCTCCTGACCCCCTCC